GAGGATTGGGTGGAAACTGAGACTGGATTGGGACTGACTGGGAACTGGCCACAGTTTAGAGAAGGAGGACACTGTGTGGTGTTGGTGGGACTGTAAATACTTGTAAATATAATATAATATGCGAACAAGCCTGAATGGTCCCCAGGACAATATGCAACTGAAAACTCACACCCCAGAAGTGACTCGAACCCATACTCCCAGAAGCAACGCAACTGGTATGTACAAGACGCCTTAATCCACTTGACCATCACGACCGGACAAAATGAGGTGATAGCCTAAGCTATTTGAACCACCCCACCGCCGGCACTCGGATAGTAATCTTGGGCATAGCATTTTACCAAATCACCTCATTCTTTGGGGCACACGTGATTTGTTCGCATTTGTGTTCCTCACGTGTGCCCCAAAGAATGAGGTGATTTGGTAAAATGCTATGCCCAAGATTACTATCCGAGTGCCGGCGGTGGGGTGGTTCAAATAGCTTAGGCTATCACCTCATTTTGTCCGGTCGTGATGGTCAAGTGGATTAAGGCGTCTTGTACATACCAGTTGCGTTGCTTCTGGGAGTATGGGTTCGAGTCACTTCTGGGGTGTGAGTTTTCAGTTATAATATAATATATATGTATATATACATATATTCAGTAGCTCGTCGTCTCACGTGAAGGAACTGGTGCATGATGTGAAACATAAACAAAGTGACACATGCTAATATAATGAGATGTGAACATTTATTGATGTCAATTTACAACATCACAGACTCTCAGATACGAGAATATGAGGACTCACAGACGAGGACATGAGAACTCACAGGTTGTGGTGGGTATGTGGGCCTGCGGGCCGCTCCAAGCAACAGCCTGGATGACCAAACTCTCACAAGTCGAGCCTGGCCTCGGGCCGGGCTTGGGGAATAGAAGAACTCCCAGAACCCCATCAACCAGGTATCAACCAGGCTCTCAGATGCGAGGACATGAGGACTCACAGGCTCTCAGATACGAGGACCTAAAGACTCAGATACGAGGACCTAAAGACTCAGATACGAGGACCTAAAGACTCAGATACGAGGACCTAAAGACTCAGATACGAGGACCTAAAGACTCAGATACGAGGACCTAAAGACTCAGATACGAGGACCTAAAGACTCAGATACGAGGACCTAAAGACTCTCAGACACACGAACCCACCAACACACTCGAGGGTCACAAACCCACTTACAGACCCACTTGACACTGCCTCACACGGCTCGAAGCAAAATTTGATTAGACTTTTCCTCTCTAATATTTCTTCCATCCATAAGGTGTTATCGGTCGGCCTTGTGCAGACACAAGCACGAATTTACATTCCAATTTGGGCGGGGAACTCCCCCAACGATAACAATATTTCTTTACTGGGGGGAAGTTGAATTGTAAAAATATCATAGACCAAAACGAACTGTATAGCTGCCAGTTTGGGGCTTCCAAAGTCGGTTTTGAAAACGGTTCAGAGAATATATGTTGGGATGAATTGTGTGGGTGTGTGTGTACTCACCTGGAGTCTATTGGGCTCTATCATATCTATATATGAAACTGTGTATAGAGTCTGCCAGCACCACATCACTGGTTAATACATTATATTTAACTACTCAAACACGGAGAAAAGTCATTTTAATGTCTCTTTGGCTCATTTGGGTATTAAGTTTCCACCTGTGTTCCCTAGTTCGTGTCCCACCCGTGCTGAAGATTTTGTCTTTGTCCACCCTGTCAATTCCCCTGAGAATTTTGTAGGTGGTTATCATGTCTCCCCTTACTCTTTTGTCTTCCACGGACGTGAGGTTTAGCTCCCGTAACCTTTCCTCGTAGCTCATATCTCTCGGTACTGGGACACGTTTAACGGCATACCTCTGAATCTCCTCTAAGTTTGTATTCTGTTTACCTAGGTATGGACTCCAGGCTGGTGCTGCATACTCCAGGATTGGTTTGATAGTCGTGGTATACAGGATCCTGAACGATTCCTTACACAAAGTCTTCTAAATTTACATATCTTAGAAACAGGATGGGTCCAAGTACAGAGCCCTGTGGGACTCCTCTGGTGACATCTCGCCATCCTGATGTCTCCCCTCTCACCGTTACTCGCTGTTTCCTGTTGCTTAGATACTCCCTTATCCACTGGAGCATCTTACCTTTTACTCCTGCCTGTTGCCCCAACAAGAGAGCATTCTGAGACCTTTTTGGACACAGATATTCCATCGACTCACCTCTCATGTTGGGGTCATGTGAGTAACATTTGTGCCAACTAATAAAATTGAATTAATTGTTTTTCGACTACCTAACCTACCTAACCTAACCTAACCTACCTTTTTGGGTTAAAGGTTAAACGGCTTCCAATTCTTTTTAACAGTCAGTTGTGATCTAGTGGTTAAAGTAGTGGACAAGCTAAGGTGCATGGAACCATGGCTGTCTGGGTTCGAATCTTTCAAGGGTGTGGAGTTTTCTGTTATATATACATATACATTGTCTTCTGTGTTGGCGTGTATATATATATATATATATATATATATATATATATATATATATATATATATATATATATATATATATATATATATATATATATATATATACTAGAGGGGTACCTGGGATTGACTGGGTCTATCTGTATCCTATCTATCCTTCTATCTATCCATTCATCCAACTATCTATCGTCCCCACACCCCTCGTCCCCAGTGGCCATCTCAGTGGTCTATTCTCCCCACCATCCAATCTGAAATGAAAGAGGAGATAGAGAGAGTGGAAGACTTGAATGAAGGAAAGAATGTGGATAAACGTTGAGAGAGAGAGAGAGAGAGAGAGAGAGAGAGAGAGAGAGAGAGAGAGAGAGAGAGAGAGAGAGAGAGAGAGAGAGAGAGAGAGAGAGAGAGAGAGAGAGAGAGAGAGAGAGAGAGAGAGAGAGAGAGAGAGAGAGAGAGAGAGAGAGAGAGAGAGAGACAGAGAGAGAGAGAGAGAGAGAGAGAGAGAGACAGAGAGAGAGAGATTTACTCCTGTCAATCAGTTTGAGGCGAACAGAAAGGGGCCCTCAGTCTCGTTCTGCCTCTCTACCTGTCTCTGACTGGCTGAAACTGTCAGTGACGGGATCTGTCTGTCGATTTGTTATTTTTCCTATGCCGGGTCGACCTGTTAGCTCTTGGACCCCGCCTTTCTAGCCGTCAGCTATCTATTCCCGCCAAACACACACCGAAACTACGACGTTGGTACAACGTTCGAACAAGTTTTAACACTTCCTAACCAATTATAACAACCAATATAGCAAGTTGTAACAACGTTCTAATACGTCATAAACACGTTAAACCAAGATATAACAACTTTATTACAAGTTGTAACAAGGGGAAAATAGAGACAATTACGGGTTGTGTTTCCAGGGCTGTACAGACTCCAGAACTATGTTACTCTGTGATGAATGTACTCTTATGAGTATTTCTCTCACACACACACAACAGCTCATAAACTGAAAGTACTTTGAGTACTTTCATGCTAGGAAAGGAAAGTACAAGAGAGTACAAAGAAAGTAACGTTGTGTTCGGTCGTACAAATATGGAGGTGGTGGACAAAGAGAAAGTTTAATAATATCTGGATAACCGGATTTTTTATATATATTTATATATAAGTTACTGATGCAACTTACGAAACTATAGAAACGCTATATGAGGCCTAATATAATATATATATATATAATATAATTTATACTAGGCTTAGGGATTTTCATGTTTGGGTTTTAGTTTAAACAAAATTTCCGGATTCAATGGAATGAAAAGTAAAAAAAAATAACTTTCTATTTTAACCATAACGTTGATATTTGCACGATCGTGACGGCTGAGTTGACAGCGCTCGGGATTCGTAGTCCTGAGGTTCCGGGTTCGATCCCCGGCGTAGGCGGAAACAAACGGGTATAGTTTCTTTCACCCTGATGATCTGTTCACCTAGCAGTAAATAGGTACCTGGGAGTTAGACAGCTGTTACGGGCTGCTTCCTGGGTGTGTGTAACAAAAAGGAGGCCTGGACGAGGACCGGGCCGCAGGGACGCTAAGCCCCGAAATCATCTCAAGATAGTTACCCAATCTAGCCACCAGGATGATTTGTATTAATGTGCCAAACGCATGTATATAGCTGAGGCTATAGTATGTATATACGTTGCTCTTATACACAAGTGTTGGAGCTATATCCCCAGATCCTTCTCTTTCTCTGCCTGTGAACCTGCCACCATTCTGAGCCCTGTAATCCCTGGGGGTCTATTCCCCCTTCAGCTCCCCCTGCCCCCTACCATTCGTCAGCTGTCGTCATAATCTTAAGGGAGTTAAGGGGATTACAGGTAAGCATCCATTTGTTCTCAGCCTGTCCTCCTAAATCTCCCCAACGTCAAGAAACTGGTGTACTAAACTGCCCTTCCTCTTATCCTAACCTACCACAGGACCCAGGAACAGAAAACGGGACAGTTATGTCAATTTCACCAGTTGCTGTCATTTTTGACCAGGTCAACTAGTCAATTAACCCCTTTACAAATCCCTACGGGAATCCTGGGCTTAGTAGTTGATACTTAAGGTAATTGTCAGTGTTCCAGCCTTCTCTTTCCTAAGACTAACTACCTGTTGGTCCACCAACCATTCCCGTCTCACATGTGTTTGGGGTTGTTCCTTGGCCTTAACTGCTACGTCATTTTCATGTTGCATCTCTTCCTTACTTTTTACTCAGTCCTCTTTCTCTTATTGGTGTTATGGTTCTCTTCTCTTCTGCTTACTATATATTCTTTTCAACATTTTTTGCAGTTTTTATTATGCATGAAAATGAGGTCTAACCTCACTTTAGACGGTCATGTCTTCTTTTAAATACCTGAGTCTCTATCATGTTAACTTGGGAAATTCCTCTCCGCTGTCTCATATATCTTTTCTCTCCATGTTTGTTCTCCCCGGAAAAAATGTTCTTTCGTCAGGTGTTCTTCATGACTCAGAATATCAAATGAACAGTAATTTTGCACCATTATGAAGTTTCATGGAGAATTCCTGTTCTTGCTCTGTTTGCCCCTTTCATGTTCTCGGGTCTCCTGTTGTTCTTGTTCTTGGGTCTCCTGTTGTTCTTGTTCTTGGGTCTCCTGTTGTTCATGTTCTTGGGTCTCCTGTTGTTCATGTTCTTGGGTCTCCTGTTGTTCATGTTCTTGGGTCTCCTGTTGTTCATGTTCTTGGGTCTCCTGTTGTTCTTGTTCTTGGGTCTCCTGTTGTTCATGTTCTTGGGTCTCCTGTTGTTCTTGTTCTTGGGTCTCCTGTTGTTCTTGTTCTTGGGCCTAATGTTGTTATTGGGTCTCCTGTTGTTCATGTTCTTGGGTCTCCTGTTGTTATTGGGTCTCCTAATGTTCATGTTCTTGGGTCTCCTGTTGTTCATGTTCTTGGGTCTCCTGTTGTTCTTGGGTCTACTGTTGTTCATGTTCTTGGGTCTCCTGTTGTTATTGGGTCTCCTGTTGTTCATGTTCTTGGGTCTCCTGTTGTTCATGTTCTTGGGTCTCCTGTTGTTATTGGGTCTCCTGTTGTTCATGTTCTTGGTTCTCCTGTTGTTATTGGGTCTCCTGTTGTTCATGTTCTTGGGTCTCCTGTTGTTATTGGGTCTCCTGTTGTTCATGTTCTTGGGTCTCCTGTTGTTATTGGGTCTCCTGTTGTTATTGGGTCTCCTGTTGTTCATGTTCTTGGGTCTCCTGTTGTTCATGTTCTTGGGTCTCCTGTTGTTCATATTCTTGGGTCTCCTGTTGTTCATATTCTTGGGTCTCCTGTTGTTCATGTTCTTGGGTCTCCTGTTGTTCATGTTCTTGGGTATCTTGTTGTTCATGTTCTTGGGTCTCCTGTTGTTCATGTTCTTGGGTCTCCTGTTGTTCATGTTCTTGGGTCTCCTGTTGTTCTTGTTCTTGGGTCTTCTGTTGATCATGTTCTTGAGTCTCCTGTTGTTCTCTGGGGGTTGATGGTCACTGTTATTACTACCATTCCCCTCCGCCTGTTCTCTGTGGCTGCATTAATGTATTCTTGTGATCCATTACTTCCAATGACACACGTGTCATATGTCTAGTAATGTCACTCCACCGCCTCCTGTGTCATCTTATCCTCCTCCTGTGTCCTCTTATCCGCCTCCTGTGTCATCTTATCCTCCTCCTGTGTCCTCTTATCCGCCTCCTGTGTCATCTTATCCTCCTCCTGTGTCCTCTTATCCGCCTCCTGTGTCATCTTATCCTCCTCCTGTGTCCTCTTATCCGCCTCCTGTGTCATCTTATCCTCCTCCTGTGTCCTCTTATCCGCCTCCTGTGTCATCTTATCCTCCTCCTGTGTCCTCTTATCCGCCTCCTGTGTCATCTTATTCTCCTCCTGTGTCCTCTTATCCGCCTCCTGTGTCATCTTATTCTCCTCCTGTGTCCTCTTATCCGCCTCCTGTGTCCTCTTATCCGCCTCCTGTGTCCTCTTATCCGCCTCCTGTGTCCTCTTATCCTCCTCCTGTGTCATCTTATCCGCCTCCTGTGTCCTCTTATCCTCCTCCTGTGTCATCTTATCCGCCTCCTGTGTCCTCTTATCCGCCTACTGTGTCCTCTTATCCTCCTCCTGTGTCCTCTTATCCGCCTCCTGTGTCCTCTTATCCTCCTCCTGTGTCCTCTTATCCGCCTCCTGTGTCCTCTTATCCTCCTCCTGTGTCCTCTTATCCGCCTCCTGTGTCCTCTTATCCTCCTCCTGTATTCTCTTTTCCTCACGTTTTTATCATTCCTCTTTGGCTCCTGTTTCAGGCTCCGTTTCTCTTATTTCTCTAGCAGTTCCTCTTTCTCGGTCAGCAAGACAGCTGGGCGTGTGTACTAGGGATTAAGGTTCTTTGTCTTGAGAATGTCATTGGTGGGGGCTGAGACGGTGGTTTTGGGGGTGGGTGGTTGTAAAGCAGGGTGTGAAACTGTGTTATAGTGTGGTATTTGGTGGTCTTGTTGTTGGAATGGAGAGCTGTGTGTGTGTGTGTGTGCTTGTGTGTGTGTGTGTGTGTGTGTGTGTGTGTGTGTGTGTGTGTGTGTGTGTGTGTGTGTGTGTGTGTGTGTGTGTGTGTGTGTTGATGAGTCGCAGAAAGATAGGGAGCACAGCTGGTGCGAGTAGAGGTAATTACCTAAGTGATTACCTAAGTGTAGTTACAGGATGAGAGCTACGCTCGTGGTGTCCCGTCTTCCCAGCACTCTTTAGTGCTGGGAAGATGGATGATTCTAGGTGGATGATTCTTGGAGGTGTTGACGGGTTTAGAGGTCCTTAGGTAAGATGTACGGGGGTGTTGGGTGAGGAGAAGGTAGTGAGGGTGAGGAGGAGACAGTGAGTAACTGTGAGGAGGGAGGGGTGAGTGAGGCCTTAGTGAGGTAAGACATCACAAGTGTAGACTTACCTTACACAATTCTTAGATCTATCCTGTTTCTCATGCACGTAAATGATCTTCCAGGGGAATTAGAAGATTTTCTCTCAATGTTTGTTGATTCTACAACCCGTCCTCCTCGTAGCACAACCCGTCCTCCTCGTAGCACAACCCGTCCTCCTCGTAGCACAACCCGTCCTCCTCGTAGCACAACCCGTCCTCCTCGTAGCACAACACGTCCTCCTCGTAGCACAACCCGTCCTCCTCGTAGCACAACCCGTCCTCCTCGTAGCACAACCCGTCCTCCTCGTAGGACAACCCGTCCTCCTCGTAGCACAACCCGTCCTCCTCGTAGCACAACCCGTCCTCCTCGTAGCACAACCCGTCCTCCTCGTAGCACAACCCGTCCTCCTCGTAGCACAACCCGTCCTCCTCGTAGCACAACCCGTCCTCCTCGTAGCACAACCCGTCCTCCTCGTAGCACAACCCGTCCTCCTCGTAGCACAACCCGTCCTCCTCGTAGCACAACCCGTCCTCCTCGTAGCACAACCCGTCCTCCTCGTAGCACAACCCGTCCTCCTCGTAGCACAACCCGTCCTCCTCGTAGCACAACCCGTCCTCCTCGTAGCACAACCCGTCCTCCTCGTAGCACAACCCGTCCTCCTCGTAGCACAACCCGTCCTCCTCGTAGCACAACCCGTCCTCCTCGTAGCACGTCGCATTTTGACGTATACTCTCCCCAAGGCCCAAAAATCCTCGTACTAGAAAATGGAAGCGACTCGCGAAATTAACATACTGTCCCGTTTTCTGTTTTGGGTCCTCTGGTAGGTTAGGATAAGGGCACTTTAGTACTGTAATTTCTTGACGTTGGGGACGCTCACGTGAACGGCCTGGGGCCGGATTCAGGAAGGTACTTACGAAGGTTTTTCCTCTTAGCTAAGAACGAATTCCTTCTTAGCGCCTTCGTGGCGGCTAGGTCCGTATTCAAAGAGCTACCCTAAGTGGAAAAACCTTCGTAAGTTCATTCCGGGATTTAAGTGTAGTTTCGACCACTCGTAGCTTTACGTAAACTGGATATAAGTCATTTTTTCTCTACTACATAACACTGGGATCGATTTATGATATTGGAACATGACCAAAACATTATAGCTGGTGAATCTAGTGGAGAGGAATCCTTCGTGTTAGTTATATATGCATTCTCTGCTTGAAACTTGAAGTAAATATGTGTTTGATGATAGTAGAATTAGTTTTATAATAGCAAGATATTATACCAGTAGTTATTAAGTAAATAAACACTGGTGAACATGAAATATGAGAGAAGGTGATGAGCCCTGCCTGATGGGATCATTTACTATCACCAAATGCCCCTGTTCACCTAGTAGTAAGGGTGTACCTTAGCTATACATACCCATTTCTAATTTATTTAGTTTGGTTTTATTTTTAAATTAAATCTGGGTGAGACATAAAATAAAAATATGCTGCACAAATGATGTTAGGTAAGGAGAAGGGTAAAAATGTCAAAAACTTTATTCATTGAATACTTAAAGCTATAATTATGACTATATAGATTATTAAAAAAGAGAGAGGGAAGTAGGGGTCCAAGACCTCTTCCTGTTATACAATTTGGGTGTGGAACAAGTAATTATCAAAAGAAGGCACCATGCCGGGAAGGCTATGTAGCAGTGAGGCAGCTACTTATTTGAGAAATGCTTATTTTATTTACCTTATAAGCTGAGGCAACTTATTTTATTTGAGGAATACTCAGCTGATTCCTCTACATTTAGCATGGAACAAATTTGTGTCCAAGACCTCTTCCTGTTACTCAATTTGGCTGTGTGTAACCAAACTAGAAGTGCTCTACAAATCAAGGGACCCAGAATGTGGAATGACCTCCCGAATCATGTCAACGGCTGTACCTCTCTCAACCAGTTTAAGAGTTAAACCAAGTACTGCCTAATTAACCCCATGTAACCTAACTTACGTCCTAAATGTCAACCCATGTCTTGCTATTTTTTAAACAACGCTGTTCACCAACATGTGCAATTGCTGATTTATGCTATGTTAACCCCCTTTTTGTATTTTTTATTCCTTCTTTCAACACAATTTATACCTAATCCCGATTACTATTAAGTTTTAGTCTGTTTCCCCCCCCCCCACCTTGCCCGAAATGCTAGAGTATTAGTGGCTTTAGGTATTGTATGTACTAGCTCTGCCTATAAATCCAACATTATGTTTGTAAATCAACTGTATGTACTTTTCCTGAATAAAATGTATTTATTATTTATTTTTTAATCAGTAAGTATTAAAAGAAGGCACCAAGCTGGGAAGGCTATGTAGCACCATTGTGTGTAACAATAAACCAAATCTTTTTAACAAATAATGCACCTGTATGGGAAAACAAATCCTGTCAGCTGTAAAAATATTGATGCAGTTATTTCAATGAAAAATATAATGAAAGAAATATTACTGGTTTATTTTTTCCTATCTTTTTGTACTGTACAGTATATCCAAGGAAGTGAAAAATTGAGACATAATGCACAATTTAATGAATGATTAGCATGGATTAGCAGTTCAAAAGAAATATGACTTGTATTACATATCAACATGAGATCTTAATGATCCATGGTCAACATGATTTAATAAGGATAATACAGTACTGTATTTGTAATAATACAAACTATAATTTAAAATCTTTATTACTGATTTTTTTTATTAAGAAGATTAGGTATACACAGCAATGTGCTGCTACCCTATTCTATATGGAATATTACACAGTGTAGATAAAAAACTAGCTATAAGTTTATCTAATACTCCCATCTCACAGGATGGTTAGACATACTGTACATGGAATCAATTTAGAAAATACCAGCCTCAATACAAAAAACAAATCAACTCTGACTAAACAACTCTAAGCAATTTTCACAAGAGGTAAGCACTGAATCATGGAAACATTATATTATAATTACTCTTACCAGTTTCTACAAAACTCCTCTCAAACAATGTATTTTTAAACATGTTTAGGTATACACAGCAATGTGCTGCTTCCCTATTCTGTATAAAGGACCACACAGTGTAGATCAAAAACCAGCTACAAGCTCACCCAACATCCTCACCTCACAGGATGGCCAGTCATACATGAAATTAGGAGAGAACAAAATACTTAAGGCTGATCTATTAGCCTCCACTGGCAAAATCTGGGTGCAGCACAAGAATATCTTCCAATATTCCTGAGTGTATGAAGTAATTACAGAGCTCAAAATACCTCATACCATTTGGTATGAAGTCACTGATAACAGGACAATCACAGATATAGTGTTGGAGAGTATGTTCTCTCAAGTAGGACTGAAAACATATGTTTTTTTCCACTAAGAGGGCTATAAACCCATGGAACGGCCTACCCGCTGAAGCCGTAAATGCCAAATTCCAGCTAAAAAATATAATTAAGACAATTGGCGGGCCCTTCAACAAGCCGCCGGCTTTCTGTCCTCTTCGAGGTCACTAGATAGTTAGTGGCCCTTGGGTAAATTCAGTAAATATATACAATAATTGTCAGCGCATCTTCCGAGCAACAAGGACAGCTACACAGTATCTCTTAGAATTACGTAGGTAAACAACAAATGTAACATATTTGTTTACTACAATGTCGGTGCTGGCTGTAGAAGTTGAAAAAACATTGTTTTACTTCGAAATATACTAATTTTATAAGAAAATTCGACGTAAATAGGAGGCAGTAGAGCTGCGATAAGCCAGCGCTAAATCTTCAATATGAAGAATGTTGCTGCTCTCTGATTGGCCAAACGAAACACAGTAGTGACCTCTATCGGCACGCAGGTGAACCAACAAATTTCTTCCTAAGTATACCTTATTGAATCGCACCTAAGCATCTTCTTAGGGCGCACTTAGGAACCTTCGTAGCAAACCCACTTACGAAGAAATACACAGAGCTTCCTGAATCTAGGTCCTGGATTCTGCAGAAAAATTAAGAAGAGGATTAAGACAGAGGAAGACACAAGGTACCAAATGGGTTGTGAATCCTTCTCCGGATTCACATCCGGATTCATATGCAGGCGATGAGTCACAATAACGTGGCTGAAGTATGTTGACCACATCCGGATTCTTCAAGAATCCGGATGAAAGATTTGTGGGCCGATATCAGACCTATCTCACCCAAGCCCACGTCAAAAGGGTTTGTCCCCGTGGTGTAGTGGTAAGACACTCGCCTGGCTCTTCCCGAGCGCTTACGCCTGGGTTCGTATCCTGGCCGGGGAGGATTGACTGGGCGCCAATCCTTAACTGTAGGCTCTGTTTACCCAACAGTAAAATAGGTACCTGGTTGTTTAACGATTTGGCGGGTCGTATTCTGCGGAAATTAAGATTAAAGACCTGCCCGAAAAGCTATTCGTGTTAGGGCCTTTATCAGAATGTATATCTCTTGTATAAATAAATAAATTAATAAATAGATAAAAAGATATCAATAGCGACATGAGCAGGACTTGTGCAAGGAAACGTTTAGAAATACATGTGACATATCACGTATGTCAGACCGATTGAAGTATGCAGCGCCGGCATGGAGTTCAGATTTGGTCAAACACAAAGTGAACTTAGAGAAAATTTTGAGGTATGCAATTAGACTAGTAAGGTACAGGGATTAAACCTCGAGGGAAGACGGAAAGTTTGGAGGAGAAATGATTACCACATACCAAATTCTTTGGAGAGTTCATAGACTAGATAAAGAATAAATATGATAGAGCCATTCTAAACGGCCACAGGAAGTTGAATATCAGTTAATAGACTGGTTGAGAGGCGGGACCAAAGAGCCAAAGCTCAACTCCTGTAATCAAAATTAGGTAAGAACAAGAAAACACACACACACACACACACACACAAACACACACACACACATACACACACACACACACACACACACACACACACACACACACACACACACACACACACACACACACACACACACACACACACACACACACACACACACAAACACATACACACATACACACATACACACACACACACACACACACACACACACACACACACACACACACACACACAACACACACACACACACACACACACACACACACACACAAACACACACACACACACAAACACAAACACACACACACACACACACACACACACACACACACACACACACACACACACACACACACACACACACACACACACACACACAAACACACACACACACACACACACATAACGTTTGTATGTACAAAATACAAACACTACAAACAAAGAAGTTATGATGACTTGCGTATTGGATGAAGGGAAGACAGATTGTTTAACCATAAGACGAGCTAAATAAAGCTTATGTCTACCTGGGAGAAAAATTACCTGGGAGTACCTGGGAGCTCAAGAAATGTCTGCCTGGGAGTAGACATAACCCCACCAGCCGCAGTTAGCATAATAATAATATTAGCAGCATATAGCATAGTGGACTACGTATGTTTTGCATTCACAAACTTGTAGAAAGGGTGGGGCCTGACGGCTGAGTGGACAACGCTCGGGATTCGTAGTCCTTAGGTTCCGGGTTCGATCCTCGGCGGAGGTGGAAACAAATGGGCAGAGTTTCTTTCACCCTCATGCATCTGTTCATCATGGAGATTCGTAGTCTTGAGGTGTTGTTGTTAAAGATTCGCTACTTGGAACAAAAAGTTCTAAGTAGCACGGGCTATGGTGAGCCCGTAGTGTAGTCTTAAATATGTCGATCTGAGCTGATGAGAATGTTGACTCTCCACACTCACTCCTCTCACTCTCACTCTCAGCGTCACCGCTGCTCTCATGTAAAGTCAGGAGGTGAGAGTTGTTGGGACAAATGTTGGAGAGTGTAGCCCACTGGTCTACACGTCCCATTCAGACCCCTCAATCAATTGGGCTGGACGGTAGAGCAATGGTCTCACTTCATGCAGGTCGGCGTTCAATCCCCGACCGTCCACAAGTGGTTGGGCTCCATTCCTTCCCCCTCGTCCCATCCCAAATCCTTATCCTGACCCCTTCCCAGTGCTATATAGTCGTAATGGCTTGGCGCTTTCCCCCTGACAGTTCTCTTCCCTCCCATCCCTGACTTTCCCATACATGACCAAATGCTCTATAACTCTGTAATAGAGTTGTTTATGGCTGGACGGTCATATCTTCTTTTGTGTAGCGTCTCTAATATGTTGATTCAGGAAGTTCTTCTCCGCTGCCTCGAAGCGTTTCTCTCTCCATGTCCGTTCACCCAGAAAAATATATTGTGTCATGTGGTCGTGAGACCTGAATTTGGTTGGGAGAATTTTAAACGTTGAGAGAACTAAATGTCCCCCCCCCCTGGAGGAAAGGAGAGATAGGGGGGACATGATAACGACGTATAAGATTCTAAGGAAAACAGATAAAATAGACAAAGCAGCGTTGTTCAAACAGCAGAATTATGAATAATACATTAAAACTAGAGGAAAAAAGGTCACAGAAACGTCATAAAGAACTTGTTCAGTATCAAACCTGTTCATAATTGGAACAGTTTAGGCTTAGAAGTCGTAGGAACTAAGTCGATTCAACATTGTGAATGTAAATATGATAAAAAACTTGGGGAATGAGTCACTACATTCATTTAAAACCATTCAGATGACGGGCCCGGGAGCTGTAGCTCAACCCGACATTTAGATCCAGATGAGCACACACAGAGGCCAATCTTACAGATGAATCACTCTCAAGCAAATTGTATTTTGTTCTCAAGACCCAAGATGAGTTACCAGAAGGAAGGAAGCTACACTTAACAAACTTACTGGTGTTCTATCAGGCGATGACTGCGTCAATACAAGAGAGAGAGAGACGGAGAGAGAGAGAGAGGAAGAGAGAGAAAGAGAGAGAGACGGAGAGAGAGAGAGAGAGAGGGAGATGGAAGAGCAGACTCTCCCTCTAGGAACTATCAGAACACATTAGACACAGTCCAGCTCAGAGACTTACACACAAACTTGAGACGAAGACTGGAGAAACTATGGAACAATTGCGATGCTTAAAAAGGAAGATCTGTGACAGGAAAGAGTGAGAATGGAGATCTCTCTCAAGCGGAGAGAGAACTTTGTGGAAAGAATGCCAAGCTATTGGGAAGAGGCAAGACAGAGGAAGTCTAAAGAATCTGCAAGAAGTTCTACTCAACTTCCGAGACGACCTAAGAACAGGCTACATATAAGGTCCTTCTATGACTTCTTAACTTACACAAGATGAAGAAGAGACCATCTTACTGTTTCAAGATAAAGACCTGGTACAACAGCATCAGCTGGTACAACATCAGCTGGAACAACAGCTGGAACAACAGCATCAGCTGGTACAACAGCAACAGCTGGTACAACAGCAACAGCTGGTACAACAGCATCAGCTGGTACAACAGCAACAGCTGGTACAACAGCATCAGCTGGTACAACAGCAACAGCTGGTACAACAACATCAGCTGGTACAACAGCAACAGCTGGTACAACAGCAACAGCTGGTACAACAACATCAGCTGGTACAACAGCAACAGCTGGTACAACAGCAACAGCTGGTACAACAGCAACAGCTGGAACAACAGCATCAGCTGGTACAACAGCATCGGCTGGTACAACAGTAACAGCTGTTACAACAGCATCAGCTGGTACAACAGCATCAGCTGGTACAACAGCAACAGCTGTTACAACAGCATCGGCTGGTACAACAGTAACAGCTGTTACAACAGCATCAGCTGGTACAACAACAGCTGGTACAACAGCATCAGCTGGTACAACAGCAACAGCTGGTACAACAGCAACAGCTGGTACAACAGCAACAGCTGATACAACAACAGCTGGTACAACAACAGCTGGTAGAACAACAACAGCTGGTACAACAGCAACAGCTGGTACAACAGCAACAGCTGGTACAACAACTTCAACTGGTACAACAACAGCTGGTAGAACAACAACAGCTGGTACAACAGCAACAGCTGGTAGAACAGCAACAGCTGGTACAACAACAACAGCTGGTACAACAACAACAGCTGGTACAACAACAGCTGGTACAACAACAGCTGGTACAACAACAGCTGGTACAACAACAACAGCTGGTACAACAACAACAGCTGGTACAACAACAGCTGGTACAACAACAGCTGGTACAACAACAGCTGGTACAACAACAACAGCTGGTACAACAACAGCTGGTACAACAACAGCTGGTACAACAACAGCTGGTACAACAACAACAGCTGGTACAACAACAGCTGGTACAACAACAACAGCTGGTACAACAACAGCTGGTACAACAACAACAGCTGGTACAACAACAGCTGGTACAACAACAGCTGGTACAACAACAGCTGGTACAACAACAACAGCTGGAACAACAACAGCTGGAACAACAACAGCTGGTACAACAACAGCTGGTACAACAACAACAGCTGGTACAACAACAGCTGGTGCAACAACAACAGCTGGTACAACAGCATCAGCTGGTACAACAACAACAGCTGGTACAACAGCAACAGCTGGTACAACAGCATCAGCTGGTACAACAGCAACAGCTGGTACAACAACAGCTGGTACAACAACAACAGCTGGTACAACAACAGCTGGTGCAACAACAACAGCTGGTACAACAACAACAGCTGGTACAACAACAGCTGGTGCAACAACAACAGCTGGTACAACAGCATCAGCTGGTACAACAACAACAGCTGGTACAACAGCAACAGCTGGTACAACAGCATCAGGTGGTACAACAGCAACAGCTGGTACAACAGCATCAGCTGGTACAACAACAACAGCTGGTGCAACAACAACAGCTGGTACAACAGTATCAGCTGGTACAACAACAACAGCTGGTACAACAGCAACAGCTGGTACAACAGCATCAGCTGGTACAACAACAACAGCTGGTACAACAGCAACTGCTGGTACAACAGCAACAGCTGGTACAACAACAACAGCTGGTACAACAGCAACAGCTGGTACAACAGCAACAGCTGGTACAACAGCATCAGCTGGTACAACAACAACAGCTGGTACAACAGCATCAGCTGGTACAACAACAACAGCTGGTACAACAGCAACAGCTGGTACAACAGCAACAGCTGGTACAACAACAACAGCTGGTACAACAACAGCTGGTACAACAACAGCTGGTACAACAGTAACTCTGGCAGAAACATAGATCAGGCTTTGGCACAGACTCTGTGATCTCTTTCTTCCCCCCCCTCCCCCCCCCTCCCCCTGCTGTGTCGCACACAGAGCGTGGCGGACCGTGGTGGTGAGTGTGGTGTCGACTCTTTAAGCTGTTACTGTTGGCAGTAAGTCTGTGGGGGGCGGTATTAAAACATACCTGGTTATTACACACACACGTGTGTGTGTGTGTGTGTGTACTCACCTAGTTGTACTCACCTAGTTGTGTTTGCGGGGGTTGAGCTCTGGCTCTTTGCTCCCGCCTCTCAACCGTCAATCAACAGGTGTACAGATTCCTGAGCCTATCGGGCTCTGTCATATCTACACTTGAAACTGTGTATGGAGTCAGCCTCCACCACATCACCCCCTAATGCATTCCATTTGTCAACCACTCTGACACTAAAAAAGTTCTTTCTAATATCTCTGTGGCTCATTTGGGCACTCAGTTTCCACCTGTGTCCCCTTGTGCGTGTTCCCCTTGTGTTAAATAGACTGTCTTTATCTACCCTATCAATCCCCTTCAGAATCTTGAATGTGGTGATCATGTCCCCCCTAACTCTTCTGTCTTCCAGCGAAGTGAGGTTTAATTCCCGTAGTCTCTCCTCGTAGCTCATACCTCTCAGCTCGGGTACTAGTCTGGTGGCAAACCTTTGAACCTTTTCCAGTTTAGTCTTATCCTTGACTAGATATGGACTCCATGCTGGGGCTGCATACTCCAGGATTGGCCTGACATATGTGGTATACAAAGTTCTGAATGATTCTTTACACAAGTTTCTGAATGCCGTTCGTATGTTGGCCAGCCTGGCATATGCCGCTGATGTTATCCGCTTGATATGTGCTGCAGGAGACAGGTCTGGCGTGATATCAACCCCCAAGTCTTTTTCCTTCTCTGACTCCTGAAGAATTTCCTCTCCCAGATGATACCTTGTATCTGGCCTCCTGCTCCCTACACCTATCTTCATTACATTACATTTGGTTGGGTTAAACTCTAACAACCATTTGTTCGACCATTCCTTCAGCTTGTCTAGGTCTTCTTGAAGCCTCAAACAGTCCTCTTCTGTTTTAATCCTTCTCATAATTTTAGCATCGTCCGCAAACATTGAGAGAAATGAATCGATACCCTCCGGGAGATCATTTACATATATCAGAAACAAGATAGGACCGAGTACAGAGCCCTGTGGGACTCCACTGGTGACTTCACGCCAATCGGAGGTCTCACCCCTCACCGTAACTCTCTGCTTCCTATTGCTTAGATACTCCCTTATCCACTGGAGCACCTTACCAGCTACACCTGCCTGTCTCTCCAGCTTATGTACCAGCCTCTTATGCGGTACTGTGTCAAAGGCTTTCCGACAATCCAAGAAAATGCAGTCCGCCCAGCCCTCTCTTTCTTGCTTAATCTTGTGTGTGTGTGTGTGTGTGTGTGTGTGTGTGTGTGTGTGTGTGTGTGTGTGTGTGCGTGTGTGCGCGTGTGTGTGTGTGTACACTACACATAGCTCACCAGTTGATGGACGGTTGAGAGGCGGGACCAAAGAGTCAAAACTCAACCCCCGCAAGCACAACTAGGTGAGTACAACTAGGGGTAATCCCACACACACAAGAATGAGGGAAGGATATGTTCCGTCAGTACTGGATCTAATAGTCACCAGGAAAGAAGAAGAGATATTTAACATCCAGTCCCTCCCTCCCTTGGGAAAGAGTGATCACGTCCTCTGGGACATTAAATAGGCTTTAAGATATAATCTAGAACAGAATGTGGACATTTTAACAGTTGATAAACGCGATTTCCGGACAGGCCACTATTGAGAACTTGGAAAATTCTTTAGTGAGTTTAATTGGGCAGACTCGTTGCTAGGCAAGGAAGTAAATGAGGTGTATGCCAAATTTTGTGAAAAATACGAAGGCATCGAAATATACGACGAGACACAAACATTCATACCAAAGCAGAGATGCAGGACCAGGAAACAGGATTGAATCAACAGAAATTGTGAGAGGGTCAGAGAGGAAATGACAAGAAAGTGGGTTCAATATAGGAAGAGACCAAACACACCAGCACTACAAACAAGCAAGAAACAATTACACAACAGTAAGGAGAGAGGCAGAAAGGAACTTTGAGAAAGGTCTAGTTGACAAATGTGAAATAGATCCAGGCATTTTCTATTAACTCATTAAAAGCAAGCTCCATGTAAAGGATAACATACAGAGATTGAGAATGGGGAACAGGACTACTGAGAATGAAAAAGAAATGTGTGACATGCTAAATGAACAGTTCCAAAGTGTGTTTGCACATAATGAGGATTTCAGAGAGCCAAACCCAATACCAATTCCAGAAAAAGCCATATAATACATTGAGGCATCTCATGACGAAGTGGAAAAATTACTCTAAGAGCTAGGAAGAAAAAAAGCAGTTGGACCTGGTGGAGTTTCACCTTGGGTGCTGCGAGAATGTGCAACTGAGCTGAGCATTCCACTCCAATTAATATTCCAGATATATTTGTGCAGGAGCTTATTAACAGATATATGGAAAAGGGCAAATATAGTAACAATCTATAAAAATGGTAGTCGAGAGGATCCACTAAATTATCATTATCATCCGTATCATTAACAAGCCTGGTAGTCAAAACACTAGAAACAATAGTTTAAGCTAAATGTGTTGAACACCGAGAGAGTAATGACATAAAATATCGGACGGTCGGTATGGTTTTTGAACAGGAAGATCCTGTGTAACAAATCTACTTAGTTTTTATGATAGTCACAGAGATACTACAGGAAGGAGGTGGTTGGGTTGACTGTGTCTATCTGGATCTTAAAAAAGGCTTTTGATAGAATCCCACACAAGAGGCTGGTCTGGAAAATGAAACATGCTGGATGAGTGACAGGGAGGCTTCTGACGGATGAAATATTGTCTGACAGACAGATGAGGGCGGTAATCAGAGACAATGCATCTAACTGGAGGAGTGTTACTAGCGGAGTACCACAGGGCTCAGTTCTGGCACCAGTAATGTTCATCGTCTACATAAACCATCTACCAGAAGGAATACAGAATTATATGAACATGTTTGTAGATGATACTAAGATACTGGGGAAGACAGGAGACACAGACGATTGTAATGCCCTTCAAATTGATCTAGATCAAATAAGTGCTTGCAGCGTCAAGTGCAAATGGAATTCAGTGTGAATAAATAACATGTTATGGAATGTGGAATTTGAGAAAATAGACCACACACACAACTTAAAAATTATGTGGAAAGAAATTACATATCACTAATAAGGAATGAGACTTAGGGATGGTTTAGGATAATAAGCTGTCGCCAGAGAAACACGTAAAGAATATTGTGAGAGGAGCGTATGGGTCGCTTTGCAATTTCAGACTTACTTTTAGTTACAGCCCCCTCCCCGCTCAGCTCGTTGTTGCCGTGTGGGGGCTTCGTGGGCGGCTGCCGGAGTGTGATGCTCCTTGGGACAGTCCTCTGTCCTTTTCTAGCCTTCTGCTCCTGCTGCCGTCCTCTCCAATTCTGCTGGGCACTTTTTCCTTTTCCTTCTGTTTCGTTTTTCTTCCCCCTCTTCTCATATCTGCTTGCCGTTTCCTGCCGACCTTTTGCTTGTTCTGGTTCTTCCCTTGGACTTCTTCTATTTTGACGCCCGGGTGCTTGAGGAGGCATACTCTTGCATCCGTAGAACTGTAGTCCCCGACGTCGAGAGCGAGGGGAACCTTTTATTGTCAATCCCCCTTTCGTCACTGAACCCGATCTCGACGGACTGTCGGTTTCTTAAGGTGGCGTTTGTTGGGTGTATACTCACGACGCACCCCTAGGAGGCCCCGGCAAGATCGGCGATAGCTTCTTGTTGGGTGTCCTGCCTCTAATTGTGGCTCCATGGTGGGTGTGGGGGCACATTCGTGAATGAATTTTTCTTTTCGTAATGATGATGACCCCCTGTTTCGGCTGTTTCTGGTTTACCTTCTCAGGCTCGTGGGGTGGGCGACCAAGCCCCCGAGTCAGTCCGTGTTGGAAGACCGGGCTCTGCAGCCTCCGCTGCATTGGGCCCCGACCTTGCTCCTCCTTTGGCCTCTCTGACTCCTTCCCCTGGCTCCCCTTCCTCCTCTGTGGTTGGGTCGAGCCCCAAGCCCCCAGTGTTGACTACCTCGTCCCCTGGCGCGGCTCCTTCTCTAGTTGTAACCACTGCGCCTTTTAACCCCCCTCTCTCTGGGGGTTCTCACTGCCGTCCTCGTCGCGGCCGCCCTCGCTCGATTCCTTCCAGTTCTGCTACCTATCAAGCCTTGTTTGGTCCCGCTTCGTGGGCCAAATATTTTTATCTCCTCCCTCTTGATTCTGCGCCTCCTGACGATTTCTCCCTCCATCGACATCTCGTTGATTCCGTGGATGCCTCCATTACTTTCAACCCCACTCGTCTCGGTACACGTGTCGTTGCTGCTCCTTCTCAGGATGCTGCTTCCCGCTTGGCTGCCTTATCCTGCCTTGGCGAGACCCCTGTTTGGGTCTCGAAGAACGCTCAGTTGAATGCCAGTGTTGGCACTATTCTGCTCCCACCCCATGTTGCGACCGGTGTTCGGGACCTGCGCGACTGCCACGACGATATTCGACATATCCTTGCTGCCCAGGGCCATTCTATTCTCCAGGTGGACACGTTTACTCGTCCCCCTCGTGGTAGTCGCCGTCAACCCCTCAGGGTTGTGAAGATTACCTTTGATGGTAGGACCCTTCCACCCTCTGTCATTCTTGCTGGTGCCAGGTGCTCTGTCCAGGAGTACATTCCTTCTCCTCGGCTCTGCAACAAGTGCTGGAGGTTTGGGCATGGTGCCCTCCGCTGCTCCGGGACTGTCTCTCTCTGTCCTTTGTGTGGTGGCGAAGGTCACTCTAAGTCGGAGTGCACTTCTCCCCAGGCTCGTTGCCTCAACTGCGGTGAGGCCCATCCTACCTTCTCCCATGCGTGTGTCCATTACAAGCTTGAGGCAGCCATCCTCAACTTGAAGCACCGGGAGCGTTTATCTTTTCCTGAGGCGAGACACCAGGTTCGCCGGCTCCCGCCTTATGCTAATATCTCTTATGCTCGCGTGTTGCGCTCTTCCTCTCCTCGTCCTTCCCGCCTTCCTCAGATTCACAACCGTTTCCGGGCCTTGGACCCTGATACGCCCACTGCCCCCTCCTCTGTTCCTTTGGGTTCTCTCCCAAAGGATCCACCTCCTGGTCCTCTGTCTGGGGTTCCCCTTCTTTCTACCCGGTCTGTCGTGTCTCCTGTGTCTTCTTCCTCGTCTCCCTCCGTTCCTCCTTCCCATCCTTCCCCTCCGTCTCTTGACTCTCCCCGCCGCCTGTCGGTGCGGGCTGATGTCCATCGCTCTCCAAACGGCCGTCATGTGTCCTCTCGTTCAGCTTCTCCTGTTGAGACGCTAGAATCCGTTGCCCAGTACGTGGTTGCTGGGACACCTGTCTCTTTAAGTCAGAAGCGTAAACCTGGCTCCTCTCCTTCTTTCTCCCCGGCGGGTAAGAAGGTTTCGCTTTCTTCCTCGGCCCCTACTTCTGCCTCTCTCGCTCCTTCCCCTCTCATTTCGGTGGTTGCGCCCCCTGTTCCTGCTATGGAGGTTTCTTTAGCCCCTGCTTCCCTCTCGGTTGCTGCCCTTGCTGAGGTACGCTCCCCTCTTTCTACCCCTCCTCTTCCTGCTGCTGTCCTTGACTGCTCCTCTTCGTTGTCTCCTCCTCTTCCTCCTCCTCCTTCTCCTCCGGACCCCGCCCGCCCACCTCTGATCTGTTCTTCCGTTTCCTTCCCTCCGTCTATGCTCAGTTTACCCATGCCCCCTAACCCTGCCTTTGCTGACCCTGATCCCGACCCTGATATTCTTTAACGTGCTCTGTTGCTCTTTCGCCTTTGTTTCTTCCTTGTTCTCTGTTTTTGTCCTTTGTTTGAGGTTATTATGCCAATTTCCTCGAACTCCAACTTCTGATCTCGCGGTTTTCGCCCCTTTGTGTCTGTCTCCAGGAGCCGATGCTTGGTGCTCGTCCTGGTCGTTTTCGTGGCTATTCCTTTCTCTCCCCCCCCCCAGCCGTTGCTGGGGCTTCTAATTCTTCTGCTCTTTTGATTCGTGCTGATGTTCCCTTTGTTCCTTTACTTTTCCTTCGCCTCTCCATTGTTCTGCTGCTCGTATCTTTGTGGGGAAATGGTACACAGTTTGTTCCATTTATCTCCCCCCGAGTGTCCCGCTTTCTCTTCCTGATTTGAAACACCTCCTAGACTCCTTGCCGGAGCCTGTGCTCCTGCTGGGTGACTTCAATTGTCGTCATTCTCTTTGGGGTGACGTTCTGACGAATACCCGGGGTCGCCTTCTTGAGCCGTTTCTCCTCTCTTCTTCCCTGTCTCTTCTAAATTCTGGTGAGCCCACTCATTTGGACTCTCGGACTCGCACCCGTTCTTGTTTTGATCTTTCTCTCTGCTCTTCTTCTCTTTACTTAGATTTCACGTGGCAGGTTCTTGATGACCTCCATGGAAGTGATCATTTCCCCATCCTTGTTTCCTTTTTCTCTTTTCGCCCTTCCCTCTCTTTCCCTAGGTGGCATTTTGCTAAGGCGGACTGGACCCTATTTACCCTCGGTGCTACTCTCTCTGACCTCTCCCTTCTGCCTCTCTCTCGCGCTCTCCTCCTTTTTCATGACACTGTCTTCAACGCTGCCCTCCGCTCTATCCCTCGCTCTTCCTCTCGGGGTCCACGGAAGTGCGTTCCCTGGTGGAATGCGGACTGTGCTCGGGCTGTCCGCTGTAAGCGTGCAGCCTGGAAGAGGCACCGCCGTAGGCAGACGACCGATTCTTTTCCTTTCTTTCAGAAAGCGAGTGCGGTGGCCCGTAGGGCCATCCGTACGGCTAAACGTGAATGTTGGGCATCTTATGTCTCAACAATTACGTCCGAAACTCCTCTGGCCCAGATCTGGAAGCGTATCCGCAAGATAGCGGGTAAATTCGTTCCCAATGTTTCACCGGTCCTTCACCTCCATGATACTCTTGTGGCGGACCCGTTGCAGGTCGCTTCCGTACTGGGTTCCCACTTTTCTTCTGTTAGCTCTGGTCTTCATCTTCCCCAATCTTTTCTTCTTCGTAAACCTGTCCTTGAGTCTCGTCCTTTAGATTTCTGCACTCGTCTTCATCTTCCCTATAATGATCCCTTCTCTCTCTTTGAACTTCGTTCTGCCCTGGCCCTCTGCGGTTCTACGGCGGCGGGCTCCGATGGTATTCATTATGAGATGCTTCGCCATCTCCCTCCGTGCACGTCTCAGTATTTACTGAGTCTGTATAATCGGATCTGGGAGTCGTCGTCAGTCCCTGAGGACTGGCTCGATGCCGTTGTCCTCCCTGTTCGCAAACCGGGGTCTCTGGGTACTTCTCCTAAGGACTTTCGCCCTATTGCTCTCACAAGTTGTGTCTGCAAACTCTTTGAACGTATGGTTAACGTTCGTCTGATGTGGTTCCTGGAACACCATCACCTCCTCTCCCCTTCTCAATTTGGTTTCCGCAAGTGCCGCAGCACGACAGATGTCCTGGTGAACTTG